TTCTTGAGGAATGCCTTGTTTAAGTCTTTATAGTCTACACACATTCTTAATTTATTCCTATTTCTAGGGACTACTACTACGTTTGCTAACCAATCCGGGTACTTAACCTCCCGGATGGACCCCATTTTAAAGAGTTTAGATACCTCGTCCTTGATGAATGTATGCTTGACTTCGGACTGAGGCCTCCTTTTTTGCTTGATCGGATAGAACTTCAGATCTAGGCTCAGCTTGTGAGTAGATATCTCCAGTGAAATCCCTGTCATATCGAGGTGGGACCAAGCAAACAATCCATGTTATCTTTAAGGAATTGAATGAGTTTATTCCTTAGCTCGGGACTTAACCATGTGCCCAGGTATACCTTACTACCGGGTAGGTGTTCGATCAATATGACTTGCTCTAGCTCTTCGACCGTTGATTTGGTGGCGTCGGAATCATCGGGGACTATGAAAGACTTGGGAACTTTGTAGTCATCGTCCTCACCCGTCCTCTGCTTCTCCAGTTCGATCGAGGCTGGTGTCGGTAATTGATATTTGGTTTCCTCTCTGGCAACCAGACTTATACCCTTCGATGTCGAAAGTGCAGATACCGGGATCACCTCGTCGATTGCGAACATCTCCTTTGCGGCCAGTTATTCTCCGTAAACTGTTTTAATCCCTCCTGACATCGGGAATTTCAGCACATGGTGCAGCGTCGAGGGTACTTCCCTCATGTTGTGAATCCACGGTCTCCCGGACAGAGCATTGTACCACATGTCTCCTTCGATCACGTAGAACTTTATTTCCCGAATGGTTCCGGCGGTGTTCACTGGTAATGTTATCTCCCCTTTAGTGGTCTCACATGCCATTTTGAATCCTTTTAGAACTCTGACTGTAGGCACGATTTGGTCTTGTAGACCTAGTTGTTCCACGACCCTCGATCTAATGATATTGTCCGAGCTACCTGGATCAATTATCACACGCTTAACTTGAGATTTATTTATGAGTACAGATATTACCAGTGCATCATTGCGGTGCTACACGATGCCTTCATTGTCCTCGTCGTTGAAAGACAAGGTTTCTTCTGGTACGTAATCTCGAGTCTGTTTTTCCCTCGTGATGGATACTTTGGTGCGCTTTAACATCGACCCCACCGATGATCATGTATGTTAATAACTTGCTGAGGCTCCTCCTACTCGATCTGCTTACTAGAATCTCTATTCCTGAAATAGTTTTTTGCTCGATCGCTCAGGAACTCCCGGAGATGTCCGTTGTTGAACAACCGGGCTACTTCCTCTCTCAATTGTCGGCAATCTTCTGTTCTGTGGCTATGAGTGCCATAATATTTACACATTAAGTTCGGATCCATTTGGGCTGGATCAGACTGTGAGGTCAAGGCCACTTGGTGTCTTTGATGCGTTCGATGGGCAGATACGATGGCAGCGACATCGACGTTGAAGGTGTACTCCGATAACCTCGGCGCTTCCTTAGGCCCGGTGGGCTTGTCGAAACAGTTTTTGCTCATGAGTCCTCGGTTATTTTGACCTCTATCTCTTCTCCTTTCACTCCTCTAAGGGTTTCGTCCAGACTCGTTACCCCTACGATCACCGTTATATACCGATCTCTACTTGACCTTGGTTCACGGTCAATATCTCTTTTGGATCTGTCACTAGCTAGGACGGGATAAACAAACCCGAAAGGGGCCCCAAGCTGATCATCTTCGACCCTAATCTTTTATTGATATCGGTTATGCACATCGTCCCAAGTTACAGCCAGATATTCTACCAGATTTTGCTTCAACTGCTACGAAGCCAATGAGCTTCGAGTATTGCGTCCTTGGGTGAAGGCCTAAACGACCCAATCATCCGCCATCGGCGGCAGGTCCATCCGTTCCATTTGAAACCTTGATACGAACTCCCTGAGCATCTTGTTTTCTTTTTGTTTTACCTTGAAAATGTCCGACTTCCTGGTCTCGACTTTGATGGCTCAGGCGTGCACTTTTACAAAAATATTTGCAAGCATAGCAAATGAGTCAATATAATTGGGGGGTAAGTTATGATACCATATCATAGCTCCTTTTGACAAGGTCTCTTTGAACTTTTTCAGCAGAACAAATTTGATCTCATCATCTTCCAAGTCGTTCCCCTTGATGGCGCACGTGTATGAGGTCACACATTCATTTGGATAAGTTGTTCCGTTGTACTTAGGAATTTCAAGCATGCGGAACTTCTTTGGGATCGACTTCGGAGCTGCGCTCGGAGGAAAAGATTTTTGAAAAAACTTTTTGGAATCTAGGCCTTTCAGTATCGGTGGTGTTCCGAGGATTTGGTCGACCCTGGAGTTGTAGGTCTCCCTATTTTTGTCGTTGGCTTCGATTTTCTTTTCTCCCATTTCTATCCGTTTTGTTAATTCCTCGAGCATCTTTATTATCTCAAGATTGGTCCCGGGTTCAGCTTCATTTGGCCTATCTGTGGCTGGTTCATGGGTGTTTTTCCGGGATAGTTCGGGCTCAACTCTACTAGGAGCGCTGCTTTGGTTCTGCAGTTGGGCTATCGCTGCCTGCTGAGCCTGCAACATTTCGAAGATCACCCGCAAGTTGATCCCATCTCCTTTACCGTTACGTGTATTTCGGGCTACCGATCAAACTCCCCCGCGGACGCTGTTCTCAGGATCGGCAAGCAAATTTGCGTTAATGGCCACATGTGAGTTGGTGTCGATCGAGTCCGCGGCCGGAATTCCGTTGGGATCGGCAGGGGGCACCTCGTTACCGGGCACCATATTGTTGATCTCGCCATGGTGGCCAAACTCAACATCCGTGTTTAGAGGGGCAGATTGGGAGTTCGACATTTTAAACTTAGACCTGAAATCAAAGACACTTCAAAGAACAAGTGTGAAGTATGGTGTGTTATGGAAATTTGTATCAAATTGCCATTATTATCCTTATCCCCACGGTGGGCGCCAAACAGTTTACCCTAAAAAACGGATAATAATTAAATTTGTAAGTGGTTTTAAGAATATGCGGATTAATTTGATACAAAATGATAAATTGAGTTAGAATGGACAAGTAAAGATACAATAAATTCAAACCACGCTCAGAGGATGATTCCAGTCTTAGTGAAGCATTCATCCTCGATCCGGGCTCACGGTGGACAATTTTGATGAATGAGAGAAAAAGCTTACAATAACAGTGAAAATAGTAGTATATTGCTTTGAAATGCATGTTACAATGTGTATAATGAATTATGAGACTCCCCTTTATATAGTAGGGGAATCCTACTCTAAGTACAATTCCATAAAAGGTAAAAAATCTTTTGTTTAACTGATTGCCGGTTTTTCATCGATACGTGCCAAGATTCACGCCGTGATATCTGGCCGGTCGCGGATATTACGACCTTCTATTGGTCGTGCTTGATTGCCTGACAATGTTCTCCGAAGTCTTTTAGGATTTGGATCGATCTCGAATTATAACTTCGATATTCTCGAGGGCAGATATCGTGCCCCGGATTTTGACTCGATGAGACCTTTGCTTCGATTTCGATCCTTCACAATCATATCTCGAGCTCGTTTTATCCTATTGAAGGCCGAAATGTGTTATGAGTTCCGGTTCTGCCTGTATATAGTTTTACACGATACTAGGTGGATACCAATACCATCTATTTCCGCGGAGGAGAGAGGGGGACAAATCCCGCACGTGAAAATGCAATTAAAAATCTCCTCCGCACGTTCCTATGTAGACGTTTTGTGGTGTTTGGCCTTTAGTTCTTACTGTATACCTCAGCATCATAATAGAGACATACTTGGTCTGTCTTTGGACCCACTCAGATCTCTATAGCCTGTAGATTCTTTCAACTTTGTTTCTTAAGGATTACTCCCTCAGCTTTCCCTTTTTGGCACATAAATCCCAATCCTCAATGTATGATGATCTTAAGGTTTATGTGCCAACTCTTCCTATAGAAATTTGAAAGCGAAGAGAATACAACAAAAATACAAGATATCCTTCTATTATATACTATATGTAATAAGATCCGTCAAGTGCTCCCTTGTTTTTTTCTTCTTTTTTATATTTTTTTTGTCATCTTTGTACTTTGTCCTTCTCCTTTTTTTTTTTTTTTTTTTTTTTTTTTTTTTTTTTTTTTTTTGTCTTTCTTAGTTTCTACTTTTTCTACAACATATATCAAATTGCATTTTTGCTTATAAGTTGATAAAACATGGGGAAACCTTCAATTTTTTCTCACTTCACTACTTTTCTAGTTTCATTCTTTTTCTATTTCCTTCGCTTTACTTTCTCCTTTACCCCTTTCTCTGTTTTCTTTTTCAATCCTTTTCTATATTAAATATTAAAGGATATTACATAATTTACTATTCTAGAAAGAAAGAAGGCCAAAAATTATTCACAAATGAATTAATTAGTGCCTTATTCATTTCAAATTGAATTCTCCATTCCTTTTTGTGTCGTATCAAAGTAGTGCTTGATTTCCTATAAAAATATTCTAGCACATATAATTTTTAATATAATTATATTTATCTATCCATATTAATGAATCTACTGGTTATCAATTAATAAAAATAAACGGTATTAAGCGAGCTTATAAATTTCTAATATAGTGTCTTCAGTTTAAGTTTCTAGTAAATCTTGTTCTCCCTTGCTATCAAATATCCATCCAAACATATTATTCTTTTTTAATTGAAGATCAAATCAAGACAAATTAAAATAATAAATGTAAAAGAAGAAAAAGAGTTCGGATAGAAAAGCGCTAGTTCATAACTTAGCAGGTGTTATGTCAACATTTTGAAAAGGTGAAGGAGCTTTTTGTATCACAAACGACAAACTTATGGTGTAATCCGTAATTTAAACTTTTTCAATCTCTCCACGATTCCAAGACCGACA